AAGGGGCATTAATACTATTAAATTTTGGTTCTTAATTAAAGGTCGACAGGGTGAAGACATAAAAGGGGTCATGTGTCATATCTCTTAATGAATATTTTACTTGTTATTAGCATTCAAAATTTAAAAAAATAAAATAAAACTTGGTCTCTACCCTCAAAGTAAGCCTTTTTGTCATTTTATAATAGTACAGTAAAACCCGTTAAGATGTTCTCGCCTAAGATGTTAGAATGTGTATGGAGACACGATTTAGTTCAACCACTTTGACACTTAATAACTAACTCCTGTGTTAAACCATCTGACTCCGATTCTGACCACAGAAATTATTAGGCTTCAAACGGGGTGAACAAAATCATGCCCCCCCCAAACAATCTAACATCCACACATATAGAAAAAAACCACAAACCTTTTGCTTAATTAACTCAGAATTTCAAGGCGTTCTGAGTCCAAAAATGTAAAAATTTTGGGAGGGGTCATTTTTTGACCGAGCGCTACACTTTGTTATATATAACAGCCGGAAAAGTAAAAATTATCAAATACATATTTATATATTACTAAGAGGAGTCTTTTAGCTTTGAAATAAAAAGTTTCTACGTTCTATCTTTATTAGAACTCTATTTATTGAATCTTTTATTCTGAGGTCACTTAATGACATCAAAATTTCCGGGTCTCTTTCGGTAACTAGTCCGCCCCTGGTTGGAGTTGGTAGATTTTTACGCGATTCCACAGCCCTGCTTGAAATATAAAGGTTTTGAAATAATCAGTTACAGAATTCCAATAATCAAGTAGTGTATAGTTTAAACCATTAAATATAATACAATATAGTATAAGACCAAATAAGTAAGTGGGCAAGTAGTTAATTACAGTCAACTAGAAATGTTGACTTCTGATGATGGTTGGATAGCATAAAACCAGTTCAATTTTCTAAAAAGTTTTTATTTCAAGAAAAGCAATTTGTAGTTTGAATTGAATTTCTTTCATAAACTTTCTTATGAGGGTGGATTGAAAAATTTCCGGAATCGCTGTTAGGAGGTTTCTATTTGGAAATATTTTTCCTATGCTGCATTAGCAAATCTTTTGTATACGTTGCCTCCAAATTTTACATTGATCTGGCCAATAGTTGTTTTTACAAGCACTGAAGTGAGATACCCTGTGTGTCTGTTGGTACACGGAGAAAAAAACAAAATTCAATCTGTTATCAAATTTTTCCATTTGGAGGGAAAAACTGAAATGGAAATCAAATCCAGGTTGGACAATGTTCTTGGCAATTCATCAATTTCATTTTCCATGGTAAATTTTTGGGTTTTGGAATTCAAGCCTAGTTGCACACACATACACACACAAAGTGTTGAACCATTTTGAAGACATCCAAAAACTGCTACTGCTCCAGAAATTGCAGATAAAATCCATGACAGTGTCAGAAGATCACCGAATCAAAGTGTGTGAAATTGAAGAAGCTGTGGGCATCTCCTATGAACGGGTAGTTCTTATTTGGCATAACAAATTTGGTTTAAAGATGTCATCTGCAAAACGAGTGGTACGTTTGCTCAATCCAGAGCAAAAACGCATTAGCCCTGAATTTCAGCTTGGAGTTTGGAATCGTTTAAGAGAATCCAATAGATTTCAAGTGATGATTTGTGACAATAAATGACACTCAGATTCACAACTACGTACCAAAAATAAAAGTTCAATCAAAACAATGGATTGGAGATATTGAGCAGATTTCAAAGAAAGTGAAGACCATTCATTCGGCAGGCAAGGTGATGGCATCAGTGTTTTTTGAAATGCCAAAGAAATTTTGTTAATTGACTATCTAGAAAAAGGAAAAACTCACTGGCTGATACTATGCAACACTATTGGACAAGGTCAAAGTAGTGATCCAGGAAAAACACTCAGGAATAATCAAGAAAAAGTGCCATTTCAGCACAATCACTCACCCATTTATTACTTATATCGAAAAGCTGGAGAAACGTTGGATCAAGTATGTTATGATTCAAGGGGATTATGTTGAAAAATAAACTATAACTTGAAAATCATTTATTTGGTTTTCATTGTCATTGTAGAAACTTTTCAATCCACTTTTGTACTAACTTGTAAGTGGAGATAATTGATTTAAAAGTCTTTATTGACTTAAAGGCTCCCCATTCTATTTGAAAAGTAATAGGTGCAGCCCATTTTAAATATTCACATTACTATTACTGCTGCTGCCATCAGTACCACTGCCACTATCAACTTAAGGAGTCGATTCTGACCCATTTCATTTTTTGAGGGGGTAATTTTTGGTTTGTTTTCTTATTTATTTTGGGGCATTTAGACTACTGCATCTTGCCTGGACAAAATTCAAAACTTAAAAACAAAACTCACCTTACTACAAGGACTGCCGAGGACAAATTGAACACGTCATCAATCCAGAAAAAACATCTCGGGAGAGACTTCCAAAGGGAAGTTAAAAGAATGACCTCCCACCCCAAACAGTCACCAAAACTTTAAAAAAAGAATTATGTGAGGACAACGACAACAATACAGAAAGATTGCCAGAGTTAAATAAATGTTAACTATAAGTATGTAAATAGAGGGAGTGGGCATATCAACATAACATCACCATCGTTTGACTCTCTGGGCCACCAGCTTTGAGGGAACACCACTCTCGTCATCCTCAATGCAGTCGATTAACTGGTGATTCTGATCTCTAGTCTTCTTTGCCTGCTTCTGCATAACCATGGACATGCACATTGTAGGTATCACACCTACAGTGTCCTGCATAGCTTCTCTTGCACTGTTCTAAGGAAGTAACTGTGTTCCTCTGCGTAATGCTCTAATCAGCGATTTTGTCACCCAGATCCTCTGTTAACAAATCATTGCCCATTTATGTAACATATTATTAGTGTAGTAATTGCTTTTCGTTGGGATTACCAGTGGCAACAAACCTCTTCCATGTAAATATAGCTCTTATTGTTACTTACCATTATTGTACTCATCTAGCCAGAAAGGCAATCTGTAAATTTTTTGTATCAATGACTGTTTTCTATAATATGCGCGATGGGAATCAGAAATGTGATCTTGAACTTTACCTCCATTTTCCATCTCTTCTACTCCATTTCCTCCCCTTCCCCACTCTATCCCTCATTCATCCCTCTATACCCTCTCCTTTTCACACCTTTGGTTAAGTCCAACCAGGACAGCTATCTTAACTTTACTTTAAATAAATAACATCACCAATCCCAGCTATACATGAAGAGTGTCTCGGGCCCACCAGTGGCCAAGTGGTCTTTGTCCCCAACACCAGGAGTTTGGTCATGGGTTTGCACCTTGCTCGAATGGGCTGGTCACGTGGAGTTTTCTAGGTTTTCTCCATGTCTATAACACCCGAATAGGGGCCAGTTTCCCTTAAAAGACCTCCCGGAAGGCATTATTTCCCGCGTATGGCCATTCCATCTATAAGGCCAGGCTAACGGGATGCATGCATCCATATTCTCGTTCTCAGAGTAAATAGCCTACACGAGTTGCACACTCCACATTAACCATTGTATGAAAGAAAGAAATGCATCTCCGTGTCCAAGAGCACAGACACTATCGCTCCAACTCCACCTTACATTGAAAACGAAGTCACAGACCCCTATTTTATTTTAATACTTAAATTACGTTACGTTTTTGAATTCCTCGTCGCAATTAATGGAAAATGGCAAAGTCTTATCAATATCGATCGATCGAATTTTGAGATCGAACGCAACAGTGTAAGTCACATAGAAGAGGCTTGGCTAATGCTCTGCCTCAATATTTTAAGTTGCAAAAATCCAAACTATTACTACTACGACAATTTACAAATACGCGATAAGAATGTTCGTTGCATACGTGACTTTTACAATTATTGCAAGTTTGACATTGCCTAATTTTTAAGGAGCTAAAACGCAATGTTGTTTTTTTTTTGTAGTTCTATAGAAGTGTTATCAATTTGATTTTTCTGGATTATTCTCCTAAATCAATTGCTTTGTTTATCGCAGTTTCTCGTTTTCCAATATAAAGTCTTATTAGTTCTGCAAAGTTTCGTTAAAAAACATCTTTTCACGGTACGTGAAGTTAAGCGGGTTCTGTATGGTAAATAAACACGGGTATTGTTTTTTGTGTTACATTTAGGCCTTTTATATTATCGATTACAATATAATCGATATTGAATCGATAATATAAAAAGTGTAAACGTAACACAAAAACGCCAAAAAAAAAAATGCCTATATTAGAAGAAAAATCCCCTATCGCCTTAATCGGCAACGCATAAAAATAAAGACTATTGTTATGCAGAATGGAAAAAATACCTGCGTTTGTAAAGCTTTAGCTACGACAGCAGCTCCAGTCAACATTTTCGACATCTTGGTAGAACTATTGTATTCTCTCCACCTTGTTCATATGGAGATAACAGATCTCGGCAGAAACACGTGACAAAATCTTAAATTGCTTGCTTGCTTGCCGTCCTCTGGCGGCGAAGTTAGGCGTTAGCTACTTTGGCTATTTCGCCCCGTGTAGTAGTTATTCCAGGTGAGTGGAGTTGGGTTGTGAAACAGATGGTGATCTCAAGTTGAAAAACTTGGTCTAGAACAGCGTTTCTCAAAGTGGGCGATAACGCCCCCTTGTGGGCGCTGGAGGCTTTCAGGGGGGCAGTAGAAGGCTCAAAGAGAATTGGGGGGCGTTAAGGAAATATAGAGGGGCGACGGCAGACAAATTCTATATATAAAAATTCGACGGAATATATATAAAATGTTGACATTTTATATATTTTTTATTTTTTATTGAAGGTCACAACTTGAATATTTCTAACACATTGACTTTTATTTTAGCTCAGCGTTTCTCAAAGTAAGCAATAACGCCCCCTTCTGGCGCGATGAATAGATCTATGATAGAGGCAGGGTATTGAACGGTGACCAAAGGCAAAATTGGG